TACTAGATTCAGTGGCTCCACATTCCTTACATTTAGTAATTTCAGATATAACTTTGTTAAGTAGATAAAGTATGAACGCTGTTGGATTAAGTTGGATTAAGCAAATATGTTATATGGCTAAGCGAAGGCTAGAAGTTTATTTAGTGCACTTGCCCCCTTTTACTTGTGAGTTAAGCCATCCGAGCTTCTGAAAAAAGTATTGTAAAATGTATAAAAAAAATCTTTAAATAATTGTGTAATGATCTACAAGATTGGGGCACTCGAAACATTTCTACCTTGATACACTAGCCGGGTTATCTTCTTCAATATTAATTGTTGAATTTTCATAAACACTTGAATTATCCTCCTCATCAATTTGAATCCTTATGCTTTCTTGAGCAAAACCTACAAGATGCTTATAAAATTGGTTAGTTGAGGCAATTTGAGTATAATGTGAAAAACAAAGAAAATGAGATTCTAAAGACAAGTTAGCAAGTTTAGGAATGTAATCATAATAATACACAAGTTGTCTAGCTACTTCAGGGCCATCTGCATTCCACCATTTCTGTTTTGTGCTTATTCCGCAAGGTCTTAGCCCAAAGCTTTTATATGTTTTAACTAAATCTGCAAATAAACATTTCTTTTCGTGTGCTTTCTTTTGCTGTTGTTGATCAGACACTATATAAAGATATTTAAGACACTATGTTAGTAACAAGATTAAACCTTTTTACTTAACAATTTGAAAGAAACTCCTAGCTTTAGTATCTCATTTACTTTTTTTAAAATGGTTTATTATGAGAAATAAAATATGATTAATTAAATTTAGCATCTTATATTAACTATTTGTATATCGTTTAATAGCAAATGAATAGAGCAAAAGCCTACAGCGAATATGGTACAAAAAAAGCATTATATAGCCAATCAAATTCGTGAAATAGTATTGAGATTATTCTAGAAGATGATGACCTAATTTGGTAAAATCTCTGACTGAATTAATTTAAGTTGAATACCAGAATACTATTGGTAATATCATGTGTTGTGATCAAATGTCATATAAAATTACAAGTTGGTCTCGGGTCTAACTTGGAGCTAAGTTAAAATTAAAACTTGACTTTTGAAGTCGAGTCAGACCGAACTGAACTTTTAATATCTCTAGTTGTAAGACTGGAAATGTGACCTGAAGGCAGGCACGTGCCTTTGTAACGTGGAAATCTTTAATTTGGGTTTACTAGCAAAATTCTGCGAATTCAGAGAATCTATCGAATAATCTGATTAATAGTAATAATAAGAATTCATGGAATAAGAGGAATGATAAGAATAATGATAATTATAAGAATAATAAGTATAGTAGTAATTTAAGTTATTTCAAATATAAAAATAGTTCTCAAATCAATTATAAATAAAGGCCTTTTGGCTCTACAGAAATATTATGACCCGTTTATCTAAATAATAAAGTACTTAAGTCATATAAAGATACTCTACCAACTACAACATAGTTGTGGAATATGGTTTGTATCATTAATCATAGCTGCGGCATATAAGTTATATGTGCTTTCATTAATTGCTTTTTATAAGAATTCTAAATGATTATATAATTTTTTAGTTTGATTAAAAAATGATCATAGAAAATTAATATAAAAATAATCAAGCAAGATTGAAAACCAGTTTTATTTCTGTTGATTTAGTAACATTATTTTAGGTATTGTTACTTATCTGAAGTGAAGCGAAGGACACTTTTGTTTTTACTATTGTACGACAGTTTTTTTTTTCTTAAACTGATTTTAGGATTTCTTTAAATATTATAAGTATATTATTAGTATTTTATTGGTTTGAATTTCGAGTTTAAAATAAATTAAAAATGAATCAAACCATATTTTTTAGAGATCAATAAAATAAGGTAAGAAATAGCTAGCAAACTTGATCTAGTTCTGTAGTTGTTAAACTAGATTAGAAATGCATCGGGCTCATTTTCGAGCATATAGTATAAATTATTTGCAAATTTAAATTTTTTTTTTAAATAAGATCTACTGATTCTAAAGAAAAACTACTTTTATTTAATATACTGCTTTTTTTTTAATGTGGTTCTAAACATGACTTGTACTATAAGGGAGTTCTTGGTCACTTACACCTAAATAAGATACGAGTATTGGTATGACATCTTTTTTAAGTTTTGTACCATTTGTTTCCAACTCCTCAGATATAGTGCCTTTCGTTTCCTTACTTCCAAGAATTTAAGATTTTGGCACTATAGTTGAATTCTAGCATCATGTAAAAAATTTTTTAAGGTTTTAGCTCTATAATTATTGTATGTTTTTGGCATCATGTAAAAACTTTATTTAAGACTCTAAACTAGTTAAATTCTTAGTTTTATGATAGAACTTTGATATTGCTGATTTGATTTTAGCAAGGTTAATCTATTTTTTTAAGGTTCTAAGTTGGTTAGATTTTTAGTCTTATGATCTTGATTTTTATTGTTCAATTTAATAACTATATATTAATTTTTTTCTTAGCCTCAGTAATCCATTAAAATAATTTAATAATCAGTTATTTATTAATATAAAAGTTTATTTATTTAAATAAGTTTTTAATATAAACATTCAATTTTATTAATTACATCATAAAGTTGTACCAAATGCAAGCTTGTATTTAGTAAATACTAGTACTTAATAAATACTAAAATTTAATATTTTAAAAATACTTAAAATTTTAACTACTTATTAAGTGTTAATTTTATATTAATTAAATACTTAATTTTTAAGTATTTTATAAATACTTATAATAGGTGCTTGTAATTGCAATTCAACATACCTTAGGCCAAATAAATATTTGCCAAGTATTTTGCAAATACTATAACAAACTTTGTGATATATTTTTTTTGTTACTTTATCACTTTGCAAAACTGAAAAAAAATATTTTTTCTTGTAAAGTATCCTGTTATTATCTTACAAAGGTACCAAATATATCTTAAACATATAACAAAATAAATTTTTAATATAAAAGTTTTCTAAATTATTTGCTATAAGTATATACTTTCAAATAAAATATAATAAATTATTACAAATTTAATATATATATAGTATATATATAATAAATATATTTAATTGCAGCAATTAGGAACTACAATGATAGATATATCCCCATATATCCAAGCTTTGGGCTGGTATATACTACTAAAGCTAATTCACAATTACAATTGTCTACTGCTTCAACTTCTAATACTTTAATTCTAACAATTGATGAGTTTTTTAAGAGATTAAAGAAATTTATAGATAAGATGAATCAGAATATATAAATTTAAAATTAATATCATAGAAGAGAGGTTGACAGTATATAAGCCAGAGTAAATATTAATAAAAGATATATAGATTAGAATATATACATATAAGTGTTATATAATATGATATATATAGAGATTAATATTGCATATTACATATAAATAAAATAAATATTTTTAGCATTATTTTTTATTTTCATAAAATTAAATGCAATTTATACATATCTATTAATACTATAAAAAAAGCCTTAAAAGCTTTATTTGTAATGGTTGTTTGCATATCAGATAATTTCTGAACAGTTTTTAGAAAATCACAAAGTATTTACCTAATCAAAAAAATGTTAATAATATTGTTCTAAATATAATATATTAGTTTAGTTAGAAGCCAGTTATGATCATTTGAAGAGACTATAAAATACAATCAGACCTCGATATAATCACCAGGTTGGGATACAAAATTTTGATGATTATAAAAAGTTGTGACTATATTAAGGTCAAAATTTATATGTTTTATAATAGATAGATCAAAAAATAGTGTGATTATAACAAGGTTGTAACTATATTGAGAGTGACTATAATGAGATCTGACTGTATATATATATATTAATTGTTTTTTATTTATATATTCACTAATTTAGGTTTAGGCTACAGATAAGTCTCCAAGTATATCTAGTTTAGGCTCTTGGTTATATGTCTAAGTTCTTATTCTTAGTAATAGACTTAAAATATAAAACCTTT